ACATTCGTTCTGTGGGAAAGTCCCTGCACCCTTGTCCCAGGGACCAGCAGGAGGGTGCTGAGGGAGCTGCTCCAGACCCTGGTCCCTGGGGTGGGGGGTGGGGGTGGGGTAGTGGGGGGGCTGGTCCGTGGGATTTGCTCCCCCACAAACCCTGGAGGTTCAGCTGATGTCTGTGCCCCCGGGTCACAGGGCCCAGCCTTCCTGTGCTCCCTGGGGACCTGGGGGCCCTTCTGGTCATCTCAGTGTCCCCTTTGTCCCAGGGATTCAGTGGATGTGTCTGGACACCCGCTCCTGTCCCATGCATCCTGGCCCAGGTGGGATCTCTCTTCCCACCATGACGGGTCTACTGGGGCCTCCTGGTGTTCCTGCCCTGGGCACACCTCAGGAGAACTGGGGGGAGTCCCAGGGCAAGGTGGACCCTCCCTTTCTGCCTGACCACGCTAAGCCACCGGGAGTGCTAACCATAGCTCGGCCTCCAGGTGGCGCTTAGGGGCCGTGGAGCGTGAGGGACATTCGTCCTGTGGGAAAGTCCCTGCACCCTTGTCCTGAGCCTTGACTTCTGTGGTTGACGGTGTTGCAGGGTCAAGAAGGAACGACTAGTCCACAATGTCTGCTTTTCTACCCTCTCCCTCCTTCTCTTCCCACCAAGCCCCCAAGATGGAAGAAATGTGGGTTTTTCAGTTTCCCCTAAACGGTGTCTGCTCCCCAGCAGCCGCACTGCCTAGACTCACGGGACGTCTTTTCACTGGAGCAGGTGTCCCACCCGGTCAGCTGTCCCTGCTCTGGATGGGGCAGAGCACTCAGGAGTCCTCTCTCCCGACGCCAGGCTGGCCACCCTGCCCTTGCTGAGAGCTTGGCTCAGGTCAGAGGCGAACGAGTCAGACTAACATTGTGAGGAACTGCGCCATCCTGACTGCGAAGGCTATTTGTAGGGGTCACCCCGACCGGGCTAAGGGATGTCCAGAGAGCTGGGAAAACATGACTTCTGGAAGAGTCTGTGAGCGGGTTTCTGAAAGATTAGCCTTTGCTTCAGTCCCCAAGTGAAGAGGCCCAGCCTTCCCATTTGGGCATCCTCCTTCCGCCGAGGGACCGGATAGACAGACAGGGGAAGGAGGGTTGGTTCCCTCTCTCTCTCTTCTTGCGCTGGGACACCATCCTCTCCTCCTCTGGACATCATCACGCCTGGTTCTTGGGCCTGCGGACTGGGGCTGAATTATACCCCCAGCCCTCCTGGGACTCTGAGTGGCAGGCAGCCGATGGTGGGACTTCTGGCTTCCATAACCCGTGAGCTGATTCCTACAATAAATATATATTTAAGTATACATAAAAATACATTTGGATATTACATATTACTTATACATACATATAAATGTATTTGTATATTATATATACATATTATGTCTATATTATGTATGATATATATTTTATATATAAATGTATTATTTATGTATTTATGTTTATATACACTCTTTGTTTTTTTTTAAAGATTTTATTTATTTAATTGACAGAGATCCCCTGTAGGCAGAAAGGCAGGCAGAGAGAGAGAAGGAAGCAGGCTCCCCGCTGAGCAGAGAGCCCAATGCGGGGCTTGATCCCAGGACCCTGAGATCATGACCTGAGCCGAAGGCACAGGCTTTAACCCACTGAGCCACCCAGGGACCCCTATATACACTCTTTGTAACAGGATCTTTTGGTTGTTTATCTGGAGAACCCTAACTGTTGACAACTAAAAGACACAGAGAGAGACACTGTGTCCTGCATAAAAAAGAAAAAATTCAATACATAACGTAATGAAGAAAACAAAGGTACAGAGTATAGGGTAGCAGTCAGAGGAAGAACCTTGACTACGATTCGAAATTAACCTTGAGTACAAAAAACCTTGAGTACAAATGTAAAATCAAAGCTCCATACAAACTAAAATTGGGTTGGAAAGCCAGGCACCCACCCTCTTGGAGCCGGGACAGACCCTCCCAGCTGGTGAGATGGACCTGTCCTGAGGTCCTCAAGCGGAGCTGACACACGCAGCCTACTGTGCCTGTCACTTAGGGCTGGCTGTCCTTGGGGAGGTTAAATAGTGATCAATCCCTAGTTTCTTCAAGCACAAGAGGAATGGAGGAAAGAATAAGACGCGCTCCGCCGGGTTTGTATGAAGATTAAACTGTGTCAATGTTGGGGCACCTGGCTGGCTTAGTCTGTGAACTGTGTGACTCTTGATCTTGGGGTCTGAGCCCAATGTTGGGTGTAGAGATGACTTAGAAATAGAATCTTTTAAAATACGTGTTAATATTTGCAAAAAAGTAAACTAGCAATTGCACCATAAGAAGTTACCTGAGTTTAGATTGAATTTTTCAAAAACATTCTTTTAATATATAATAAAACTTTTAAGACAAGGCCTATAGCAGGCATGCAGGCTTCTTACCTTTCCCACAGCAATAATAAAAAATATATAAGTATATATGATGTGTAACAAATAATAAATATATAGTAAATAATAAATTTATTATTATTATTAAAGACACAAGAACCAATCAGTATGAGCCACTCACACTCCCTAGCAGTTGTCAGAGTAATAGTCCATTTTAATCTCAGTGGGGTCCTTGGGGCTGACCCCATAAGTCAGGTACAAACACAACAGGTCCTACCCCCAGTGCTCTCAGGGCTCTCCTGGCAAGTCATCTCGGACACCCCACAGCCTCTGGAGGCAGAGCTGGTCCCGCTGCGGGGGCGTGGTTGTGCAGATCCCAAGTGTTTGTTGTGGAGGCAGCACGGGGCTGCCTTGTCTACAGACCCTGTAGCAATCAACAGCAGTGCTAAGAAATCGAGCCGGCAACTGTGAACAGAAGCCTAATCTGTGTGTAGGGACACTGAGAAATAACAGGGACCATGAAGAAGGGAGGAGAGGATCCCGTTCAAATAACAGGTCCGTGAGACCACCATAAGACCGTGTGTAGTCAGGCCTGGGGCGTCAGGGAGAGAGGGGTGTGAGGGCACCTTCCGGTCACGGAATCTGGACACCATGTGATGTGAAACGGAAGACAGAGAGTGGATCCAGGGAAACGTGGCAATCTGCTGTCTGCACACCACAAGGCAGGAGGCTCTCAGGAATCAGCCCCAAGGTGCCCATGCCCCATCCCCATTAGAATATGTGTGATGGGGGCGCCTGGGTGGCTCAGTGGGTTAAAGCCTCTGCCTTCGGCTCAGGTCATGATCCCAGGGTCCTGGGATCGAGCCCCGCATCGGCCTCTCTGCTCAGTGGGGAGCCTGTTTCCCTTCCTCTCTCTCTCTGCCTGCTTCTCTGCCTACTTGTGATCTCCGTCTGTCAAAGAAATAAAATCTTTAAAAAAAAAAAAGAATATGTGTGATTAGGGGAGCATAATGACTTTCTGTCAGGAAGTTAACCTCTCGCAGAAGCAGACAGATTAACGTGATCCCAGCTCAGCAGTAGGGTGATTTAAAAATCCCGTGTATTCGTGGGAACTGTGAGGGACAGTCAGAGCACAGAGCAATCAGACTATTAGAAGGTAGTTTGTTATAGTCCTCAGGAGGAGGGGCGCAGCAGGTCTTCAGGGTCAGGCAGCAGGGGACGGGGACAAGCGGAAATCCTACACAAGAGCTTTGGGTGTGGTTTCTACAGGAAGAATGAGCAAGGCAGGGTCAGCAGGCTTAGCACTGGCTGGACTCCACAATTTCCGTGGGGTCTGTAGTGGAGAAGATGACCCCATTGTCCGTTCCTTGGCCCTGGGGAGATGAGGGCACGTGGAGAGTGGCCCAGAGTGTGACAGCCCCGTAAAGGAGGCGGTTGGGTGTGGACACTGGGTCAGCTGGTATGTGTTTGAAAAGGGCACCCCCAGGAAGAGGATTTTGCTCAGGAGAGGGTGGTCAGTGAGGAAGGTTGGAGGTCAATGCAGTGACTTAGGTCGTGTCTAGGACACACACAGGACAGATGTCCAGTTTGCAGACACCTGAAACATGGCCAGTACAAAGGGTACAGCAGGTTCTGTTCTACAGAGTCGCTGTGGGGGCATGGAAATTAGACCGTCAGACATCCAGCATTTTGCGGGCTAGTGGGAGACGAGCCGGTTTGCATGCTGCCTTGCACATTGCCTCGCGTGGCAAACAGGTTCCTTACTGGTGTCAGTGACTTCAGGATTTGGAGAGCAGAGATGCTCCCGGATTGTCCGGTGGTCCCAATGTGAGCACGAGGGTCTTTATGAGAGGGAGGCAAGGGGGTCCGAGGAAGGGGAAGGAGGCATCGCAGAAGCAGGAGTCCTAACCAGAGCAGGAATTAAAGATGCCACAGAGCTCCCGGAGGATGGAGGAAGGGGCCACGGACCAACGGAGGCAGGAGACTCTGGAAGCTGGAAAAGGTCACCAAATGGATTCTCCCCTTGAGCCTCCAGAAGGAACGTGGCTGTGTGGACACCTTGATTTTAGGCCCAGAGAAACCGATTTCAGACTTCAGACACGCAGAATGTAAGATAATAAATTGTGTTGTCCAAAGCCACCGAGAGTGTAGTGATCTGTTGCAGCAGCCGTGGGAGGCCGATACCCTCACTTCGCACAGAGGAGCTGTTGCAACCCTGTTAGGAAGAATGACGTCCAAACCCAAACTCGAAGGGCGTGAGCTGGGTGAGGGAGTGGAGGTCACATGAAGGACAAGGTCTTAGAGCTGGACAGTGCTGTTGTGTTTGAAGAAGGCACGGCGTCCAGTGTGGACGGGCCTGGAGCGGGGACAGGAAACGGGAAGCTGCCATGTTCCGTGGCGTGGGCTGAAAGCCTCAGGGGTCCTCTCTGCGCAGTCACGCCTCACCAGCTCCCTCATAGGGTCCGTATGTACGTCCATTAGCGTGTGTGCATGGACATATTTGTGGGCGTGTGTGTGTGCGTGCGTGTGTGGAGTGTAGGGCTGTATCATCTGCACGTTTGCTCAGGCACGCGTCCCCTCAGCAGCAGCCTCACGCCTCCCTGGGACACTCAGTTCAGAGGACACTGAGGCATCCTTTGTCTTTTTTCCTGCTCTGAGCTTCGAGCAGAGACCAGGACCAACCTCCCTGCGCAGGGCTGCTGCAGGGACGGCCTGTAAGAACTTTTATTGATGAACAAAGAGAAGCATAATCCAGAAAACAGGGTCTCAGCTATGCTTCCTAAGTATAGGTTCAAGGTCAGCTTCAGAATTCTGGAAGGTCTTTAGAGTCAGCAGAGTGGACAATTTAAACAGAGCTTCTGGGGGCAGTTAGGGATGCACAGGACACATCTGGAATCCATCTGCGTGACTGCGGGACCATAGCGGGTCTCTGGAAACAGTCAAGTGACTATACCTGGGTCTCTGGAAACAGCCAGGAGTCTGTAGCTGGGTCTTTGGAAGTAAGTGCTACACGTTCTCTCAGGGATCTAGCTGATTTTCGGGGGGACCACATGGCTCCCAAGTCTTCTAGATGTTGACTGGGGGCCTCATGACTCCAGCGCTTGCTTCCAGGAAATCTGAATGTGTGGCTTTCCGGGAAAGGATGATCCCATTCAGAGGCCCTCCAAATGGCCAGTCCACGCTTCTGCGGGAATGGCTTCCTGTGTGTCAAGGGGCAGAGGCCTGCTGGGCCTGGAGTCAGCGTCTGGAGAGGGCTGCATATGTGCTGAAGTCAGCCGTGGGCTCCATGGACCGTGGGGGTGCGGCTCGGGCTGTCCTCTGTGCGAGGATGTGCTGGTCCAGCTGAGCATAGGTCACGTCCGGGGGGCCTCCTGCTGTCGGGGTCTGAGAGAGAGAGACCCAGGTGGGTTAGGCTGAAGACAAGGTAGGGGAGTGTGGGAAGGGGAGGCTAGCAGCCAACCTCCAGGTGGCCCCTGTGATCCCACCTTCTGGAATCACTACTGTGTCATTCCCTGCCACCTAGCATCAGGGCTGGCCTGGGTGACCGGTACACTACGGCAGAATGAGGGCATGGTCGGGAGAGAATGTGGCTTCTGGCCCTCCCTCTCTGCAGCCACCCTCTGGGGGAGGCCAGCTGCCATGGAGAAGCCCGGGAGGGACTGAGTGTCCTGCCACGTCGTGGGGGGGCGGGTGGCATCCTAGAAGTGGTCCACATCTCCACAGCCACCTCCCAAAAGTCCCTGAGCCAGAACCACCCCACTGATCTGCTTCCAAACTGCCGAGCAAAGAACCAGAGATCCTTTCCCGAGGCCGTGTTGGTCAGGAGCAATGGGTGATGGGCTCAAGGACTTACCGGGGCGCGCATTTCCCCGTCCTTTTCAGGAAGTCTGTCTACTGTGGCCAGATCTGGAGGGGACAGGACAAGGGGTCAGGTCTCTGGGGTGGGTCTTGGGAGGCAAATTTGCCTGAAAACTCACAGCCTCAGGTTTCGACCTTGCACTCCATTGGGAACATACCAGAATGTTCCCAAACGTTTCCCTCTCCCTGGCCGGTCCCTCCTTTTACCTGGTGTCCTCTCTAGCATGTCAACGGCCGGGCTGACCCTGAGAGGAAAGAACAGTGAGCACGGGGGCCCCCACCCCCTGAATACAGAGGACTGGGAGGGGCCTGGGGTTAGTCTCAGGGACCTCACCTCTCCTGGGGCCTCTGCTCCTCACCTTCGCAGCTGGGGGGCCCTGAGGACAGTCAGGGGTGAGGATTAAGAAGAGAAGCCTCCTTCCCAGCACCCCGCCCCTCCCTGAGACCTACTGTGTTTTTTCTGGTGCCAACAATAGAGGAAGATGAGGGCCAGGAGGAGGACACAAAGGAACAAGGCCACGGAGACCCCAGTGAGGATAAAAACATGCTCTGTCGACAGACCTGGGAGAACAGGGTTGATGGTAGCAGACTGTCAGGGGTATGCATTTATTGGCCACCTACTGCATACTGTGTATATGCTGGGTGCTGGTCACGCACACACCTAGGTAGAAGATCTCTGGAACGCATAACAGTCCTGTGACATGGGAAAGCGTTACTCCAAAACCAGGGTCCTGAGAGCTGAAGTCTGCTGTCCACAGGGCACTGGCAGAGCTGGAATGGGACCAGCCCCATAGCCCAGTCTTCCCCACTTCCCCAAGAAGCACAGCCCGATCCTCTGTGCCCCTCACTCACCTGGACTGCTACTGTCGTCCTCCTGCATCTGTGGGTCTTCTAGGAGGGAGAAATTGAGAGCACCGTCAGCGGCCTGAGCTGGACAGAGAAGGCTGTCTTCCTGACTCCCCCTCACCACCCACTGCCCCACGAAGGGGGGCTTCTCTAACAGACCCACGGAACTTTCCCAGAGAATGGAGATGCTCTAGCCTGGTGTCCAGTACGCTAACCTCACCGGAGGATTTCCACTGAAATGCAAGTCAAATACATTTCAAAGTCAGATCGTCAGCCGCACGGGCCACCTCTCCTGGGCTCAGTGGCCACACCCGGCTAATGACCTGGAGCCAGATGAGGCAGATCCACAGCCAGCCCTTCCTGCAGGAGGCTCTGCGGGACAGCGCCGCCCTCCACTCTCCCCTTGCTCACCTGCTTCCCGATTCCCAGCCCACGCGCAAAAATCCCCATCGCAGATGCCTTCGGTCTTTCTCAGCAGCCCCCGAGGGGGGTGAACCTCCCCTTCTGTGAGCGCAGAAGCTGAGACTCCACGTCCCCCGGGGGCCTGAAGCCCCACGGCTGAAGCCCGTCATTCCAGCACCAGCTCGGCCCGCGGCTCCGCGCATGCCCCGCGCGCCCATTTCACATGTGGTCAAACCGAGTCCTGCTGGGCTCCTCCGCTCACAGGGTCGAGCCCCCATGGCGCCTGTTCCGGACCGTGCACCTCCCTCCCGCCGCCCCGGGCAGGCTGAGTCCCAGTGTTCTTTTTTTTTTTTTTTTAAGATTTTATTTATTTATTTGGTGCAGAGAAAGAGACAGAGACAGAGGTCACAAGTAGTCAGAGAGACAGGCAGAGAGAGAGGAGAAGCAGGCTCCCCACTGAGCAGAGAGCCCGATGTGGGGCTCGATCCCAGGACCCCGAGATCATGACCTGAGCCGAAGGCAGAGGCTTAACCCACTGAGCCACCCAGGTGCCCCCCCAGTGTTCTTTAAGAAAGGCAGAAAACTTCACCTCCAGGAACTTCCCTCCCTCAACACCTTGTCTTTGCTCCATGATGCAGGACCCCACCCACTGTAATATATAATAAATATAAATATACATTTGTAAGTTCTGTGTTTTAACTTATGTAGGTATAATTTAATTTACATACATAATTTTAATGATGCATAAAATTACTTGTAATGCATAAGCTGTGTATCTCAGTTGTGTCTCCGTTATATATATTCACTATTATAAGGTATGAATTTACATATGTAAATTATAGCAATATGTGACACATAATATAATGTGTCATATTATGTAATATATAATACTGTACATTATAATCACATGTAATAACATATAGATATATTTACTATGTTAATACTATTACTGTGTATTTAATATATAATGTAAGCATACATTCTGATATATTTAAATCATATATCTGAAATTTTATAAGTTAATGTTTACATATAAATACATTCTATTTAAATACATACAAATATATATGAGCATTTCTATTCCTCATTCTGACTAATTTTCCCTTTGACGTTTGGATGCACAAGGACCCTCTGTCTTCATTCCCCGCGTGCATCCCGTGCTTGGCAGGCGGGTGTCTCGAGGGTATGAAGATAAGGTGAGAAGAAAGGATCAGTGTTGGCAAGACCGGCACTTCTTCAGGCTATGGCACTCAGCAGGTAGGGACCCTGAGCGCAGTGACTGTGTAAATCACTCCGGCTTCCCTGAAACCTCGCCCCGGGGTCAGGACACTTATCGCCCCTGTTGCCCATGACGAAACCGCGGCGCCCACGGTTTTGGTGATTTACCGCCGGCACAGAGCTTGGAGCAGGGTTAGAATCTCCACCCTGACCCCCCGCAGAAAGGCGGAGGGGCTTCTCCTCTGAACTTCAGTCTTCACAGCAAGAGACAGGGGAAGAGGCATCCCTGTGCGCCCCCCACCCAGCGGGTTCAGGATTCTCCCACAGGGGCCTCTTCCTCTAGGTGCCCCAAGGCCACCGTTGGGACATAACCATCAGGAGCCCCATTCTCTCCCAAGTGTCTGAGTTTGGAACATGAGCTGTCAGTCTCGCTGTCCCTCTGTCCCTTACAGAGCTGCCAAGAGAGGACCCTGCCCACGGGGGTGGGGGGTTGGGGGGGGCAGGCACACAACCTGAGTCTTGCCCCTCCCTACTTTGGGCTGCTTCCATCCCTTCACAGCCTTGTGCCTTTGGGCATGAAACTTGCATCCCTTTGCACATTAAAGGAGTGTGGCGGGAGGGGGGCAAGGTCAGAGCAGTGCCTCCCACATTCAGTGGCAGCTAGCTTTGTTTACATAGCACCAGACAATGTCCTTGTGCCCACCCCCCCACCCTGCCGTGGTAGCCCCTCACTTGGTTTTACCAATCCCTAATCCAAACTGAAGGCAGGCAGCTGGGCCTGGAGCCCGATCCCCAGCACAGAACCCTCCAGCAACATCCCCAGGCTGAGGTCTGTTACTCACCAGCTGAGGAGTAGGTGTGTGTGTGGGGGGGTGTCTCTGTGACCAGGGCAGAAGGACCAGTGCTCCGTGGGGGCCCCCGGGGTATGCCCCACTCAGCCTGGCCCCTCTGTACCTGGAGTGTCCGCCGGAACCCTGAGCATCTGTCAGAGGACTGCATGTGGCCATCACCCCGTCCCAGAGACACCTGGGGACCCAGCAGAGGCGTCCTCACCTGTCACCTCCAGCTTCAGGTCCTCACTGGGTTCAGACCAGCCGGCGGAGGTATGATAGCGGCAGTGATAGAGCCCGGCAGTGTCTTCATCCGCCTCAGCGATGGTGAACTTGGCCTGCGTCTCCTGACCTGGGTTCTCATCTTTATATGAACTTGTTCCCTTCTTCTCCAGGCGGAATGTGGCAAACACAGTGGGTCCCTGGCACACGATGTTCACAGGCTGCCCCCGGGGGATCACAGAGCCCGGTTCTGCCTGGATGGAGGGTCTGGGCAGGACCCCTAAGAGGGAGGCAGAGCGGGCTCTCAGGGTCCGTTCTTAGGAAGTCATCACACCACACAATTCACCCGGGTTGGACACTCCATTCGGTTTCAGCAAATGTGCAGTGGTTACCTCCCGTCCTTTAGAATGCTTCCGTCCTCCCCCAAGAGACCCCACCCCTGCCAGGCCTGTTCTAGGAGGGTGTGGTTCTCCTCACTGCAGTGTTTCTCCCCCTCGACTTAGGACTCCGAGACGGTCACATCCTGAGCTTTTCTCAGGGTGACATGGGGAGATGACAGAGGAGGCCGGGGGCCCAGACATGTCTGCTGCAGAGGGTGACTCCCTCCCTGCCTATGACCACCTTCTGGGGGGACAGGGGGGCTGGGACAGAAACAGTGGGTGAGCGTGAGGAGTTGTAGGAATGACTCTGGCCCGGCTAGCCCCGGAGAGGGGAGGCGGAGGAGGCCGTCTGCAAAGCCCCAGGGGAGGTCCAGTGTGTGTGGGGGGGTGTCGTGGAGCGCCAGCAGCTGGTCCCACATACCTCAGTCGAGGAGGATTCCTGTCTACAGTGCAGTCTTCCCTGGGGCGCCCATCTCTGGGTTCACTCTGGACTTTCTCCCGCATCTCAGCCTTATCTCTATTTCCTTGTTTTGAAGGATCTTGGAAACCCCCATCTGCCTCAGGCTCACGGCAGAGCCCAACTAGGGCTCGGGCTCATCTGGGAGGTTGGTGGGCACGGGGAAGAGGGATCTGGGCTGAGAGCAGAGGGTCTGGGCTGAATCACCCATGCTGAGCAGGGAAGTCAGTGTGCGAGGAGGTCCGGAGTTGAGGGGGAAACGCTGTGTGAGAAAGGAGGGCTGAGGTATCTGGAGGGGAGGGACCGACCCAGTGTTAGCACAGGAGAGACCCGGACCAAAGAGCGGTGCGTGGGTCTCATTTGATCTGAACGGAAATGATGAAAGGGCTCCAAAAAGCTATTATTTTGCCTGAAAATTAAAAAGATATATACGTGAAAAAACAAACTTCTATAATACAAGCCAAATTTAAAAAAATATCATTTAAAATTACGTCACTAGGTGATGTGCTGTGTGTGGAGGGTGAAGAAGCTGGAATCAAGGGTGGTGTCTGGGACGCTGCCCTTGGCGACTGCCATGTTCTCTGCTCAGGGGATGCTGGGGAGGGTCTGGGCTTGTGTGGAAGAGCCTTGGGCTCAGCCCGTTCCTGCAGGGCCCGAATTGTCCAGGGGGCTGTTGGGAGCGCCGGTGGGCAATTCGGGGAAACCTGGGAGGGTCATGCACTTGGGATTATTTGCAATTCGGGGTTCATTTCAAGGGTTCCTCCCAGGCCCTGCCAGGGTCAGCACCCCTCCCTCCAGAGCTGGCTGTGGGGTGCGGGGGGGATGGGGAGGGGACTCACCGTGCTGTGCGTGGAGCTCTCGGCTCAGGCAGAGCGCTGGAAGAGAGGGTCTGGTGAGACGGATGCGGGCCTATCCTCAGGGGGGTGTCCCAGTCCTTCTTGCTCTGTAATAATCCCAAGACAAGCCCCCCCCCGCCTGCCGTCCCCTCTTCCAAACAAGTGCTTCTCTCCCCCAGCCCCTCTGGAGTGTGAATTCATCCGCGTACCCAGGAGCCCGTTTCTAGGACTGAACTTGCACGGTCTGACCTAGGTCTGGAGCAAGAGCTGAAGGTGCTGATCTTCGTGGCTCTCCCAGCATCCCGGACTCTTCTGGACTGGAGTCAGGACGCAGAGGGGAAGCGGGCCCCCTCCCCAAGTCTCCCGCCCACCCCCTCTGTCCCTCAAACCCTTTGCCTCTGTTCCAGGACTCACCAAGGGCCAGGAAGGTGGTCAAATGGGAAGACATGCCCGGCCCCCTACAGCCTGCACTGTCCGGAGCTGGCGGGGGAGAGGACAGAGCCCGCAGCTAATAACAGACAGGATGTCAGCTGGGGCACATCACGGGGTTTCGACATCAGCAGGAGCCTCCCACAAAGGGGAGACTTCTCCCCTATCCTTCCCCCTCTTTGAACGAATGAGATGGACTGAGGAACTTGGCTTCCAAAAGATGCTCGGATGAGGCTGAGCTCAGCCCCAGATGCACGCCCGAGGTTGTAACCCGGTTGTCAACATCTGGGATAAGCCAGAGCACAAACTGACTTATAACACAGAACACCCACCTCACCTTGGGCAAGACGGTAAGCCATTTTACACCAGCATTTCCTCAGACCAAAACGGGAGACCTGAGTCTTAATAGGATGGTATTTGTGAAATTCTCAGGTGTTGAGAACTTTAAAAAACATCCTGCTAGCGTGTGTTTTCTTCCCATCTTCCCCCAATGCTGTTGGAGCCAGGGAAAGGCGGGGTGTCCCTGAGCACGTGTAAAATCCTAAAGGGGTGGACAGTCAGGAGACAGGCCTCAGGCCTGGGGCCAGATGGGGCATGCAGTCGTGTGCTGAAATAAAGAGGAGAACCGGGGTGGGGAACAGGCATATGCACTACGGAGCCCAGCAGGACAGGGATCCCGCCACACATTTTCGTGTCCCCGGCTCTGATTGCAAGGGAGAGCTGCTTTTCCGAGGTGTGGCTCTTGCAGACACTGATGGTGACACAACAGCAGTCACTGCTCTCTAGTTCCCTAACTAACAGGAACCTAGAGCTGTTGGAGTGGCTATTCTAAGCTTGGGGCTGGGCGGGGGAAGGGAATAAAGTTGGGGTTAAGGCGATCTAGCAATCCCATTTGCAGTAATTTGTCTGGAGTGGGGTTCATGACCAGGTCTGGCCAATGATGCTGAAAGCAGAATATACCACTGTATCTGGGAATCGTATGTCCCCTTTAATAATGGAGGGTCTCATGAGAACTTTGCCCCCTTTACTCCTGTCCTTCACTGGCAACTGTAGTATGATGGTGTGATAGATCGAGCTGCAGCAACCACATTGCAGCCATGAGGCAACAAGCTTGAACGCAACAGCAGAAACAACTGGGGTGGAAAGGCACAAGGTCTAGGACCCATAGGAGGTCCCTGTGTTGCTAAACCAACCCCAGGACCACCTCTTCCTGGAGTTCTTGATAAGTAAACAATAAATATCTTAGATTTTCTGTCAAAATGGCAGACTAAGTCTATGGAGTTACACTCCACCTTAAAATACAATATTTCTAAAAACCTGAAACTGCTTAATACAACATCTTAATAATCTTCTCAAATGCCTTAAAGAAATGAAAAGTATGTCAAGACTATGTAGCCAGAAATTAAAGGAAGTTGGGGTTCCGCAGAGTCAAACTGGGGGCTGAACCCAGCTCTCACCTTGACGGTGATGACTTAAGTCTTATCTCCATTGCCTTGCAGACCATGGAGTGAAGGAGTAAAGCCCAGAGGTCACCTAGGTCAAGGAGTCTGGGGATACTCTCCCTTTGCTAAGCCAGAGTCTGGAAGCTTCCATTTTAGCAAAAGAGTGAACTGAAATTACTCACCTGTTCCTGAAGGCTTCCAAGAACACGTGTTTTGAAACAGGAAGCCAGAAATGGTTGTTCCTGAAAATTCTTTTGACTCTGCAATTTCCTGATCTTGTTCTGTGTGTGTGTTCATCTCGGGATCTCTGTGCCTTTCGGTCTTTCTCTCACACTCCCACTTCCTTTCCCCCTCGGTATTCGTTCCTCTTCTTTCTCTGCTTCTCGACCCCAGTGGCTGTGTGTCCCCATGCTTCACAGCATCACTCCTTGGTTTCCGTCCATCAGGTACCCCCCCCCCCCCCCCCCAACTGTGCTGACGGAAGGGGTTGACCCCCAACACACCCAAGGCCCAGATTGCCGATCTCCCTGGTGACTCCAGGTCCCCCCAGACACCATCCCAGCTTTGTAGGGGGCCAGGGGACAGCTAGCCCTGTAGGGTTCATTGCCTGCTTTCTCTGGACCTCCAGCTTGCTCACTGGTGATGTGGGCCTGGTCCCCTGTTTTGCTTCTCAGTCCTTCTTCACTTGGGTGACGCCTCCCATGCATGAAATCCACCCCTGTCCCCCGCTTTTTGTGTAGTCTTCATTAGCGATTTTTCATCAGCTTTATTTAGGCATAATTTACATACAGCACACCGCAGCCACAACTATGTGCAGTTTGATGAGTTGGGAAACCACCATCGTAGTGACGATTTCCATCACAGCCAAAAGAGTCCTTGTGTCCCCTTTGCCCTCCCAGCAGCCACTGATTTTCTTTCTTTCTTTCCTTCCTTCTTTCTTTCTTTTTTGGAAAACATGTATTTGTTTGACGACATTTTTAAACAAATCTCTTCCCGTGAAATAATGTTAGATTTGCAGAGAAGTAGCAGACACCCAGAGAGTTCCCCTATGCCCCTCATCCCGTCTCCCCAACGTCAGTATTTTACATAACCGCACTGCATCTGTCAAAACCAAGCAATTCACGTTGATACGGTAATTAATTAAACTGCAGACTTCATTTGGATGGTATCCATTTTCCCCCACTAACGGTCTCTCCCTGTGCCAGGATTCAATTCAGACCACATATTGCATTTACTTCATTCTCTCTTTTTTTTTTTAATTTTTAATTTTTTATAAACATATAATGTATTATTATCCCCAGGGGTACAGGTCTGTGAATCGCCAGGTTTACACACTTCATAGCACTCACCATAGCACATACCCTCCCCAATGTCCATAACCCCATCCCTCTCTTCTAAACCCCCTCCCTCCAGCAACGCTCAGTTTGTTTCGTGAGATTAAGTACTGGTTAGAGTCTGACCAGGAAAACTGAAACTCTTCCATTTATTTAAAAAATTCTCTCTTTTAAATAAATGGAAGAGTTTCAGTTTTCCTGGTGGGACTCTAACCAGTACTCTCAACACACCTGCAGACCGTACACCCAGGGAGGGTGGGGGATGGGCTGGGCGTTTAGAACAGGAATGTCTGACAGTACCAATACCTAGAGGCTCCTCTGAAGACCGAGGTCATAGGGTCCAACAAGTTGGCTCTTCTTGGTGGTTTTTTAGTTAAGGAAGGCGATGCGTTGCTGTCACCCCTCGCCCCTCTCAGACAGCCCTCCACCATTGTATTCTTCTAAGATGTTGATCCCCAACTGGAGAATATTTAAGTCAAGGCTCACCACAGGGTAAGCATAGCACACCCTCCACCAGCAAAACCTTTCCTTGGGGGGTGCCTGGGAGACTCAGTGGGTTAAGCCTCTGCCTTCAGCCCAGGTCATGGTCTCAGGGTCCTGGGATCGAGCCCCGCATCGGGCTCTCTTCTCAGTGGGGAGCCTCCTTCCCCCGCATCGGGCTCTCTTCTCAGTGGGGAGCCTCCTTCCCCCTCTCTCTCTGCCTGCCTCTCTGCCTACTTGTGCTCTCTCTCTGTGTGTCAAATAAATAAGTAAAAAAATCTTTAAAAATAAATAAGTAAATGAGTGAATAAGTAAGTAAATAAATAAAAACCTTTCTTTGGACCACTGTGTGGCCTGACATGGTCCTTCCAATAGATTAAGATAGACACACAACATTTGCAAATTAAACATAAGCTGACTGTTTGCAAAGGCAAACGCTACAGATACACAAGATATGGGGAGTGTAAGTTGCGACACGAAATGTTATTTAAGATAAGTTCTGAGAGAAACCAGAGTGTAAGGCTGGTCACCTAGGGTTGGGCCCTTGCTGGAGACATTGAGCAAGGGTGTATATTTGCACCCTGAGCCCTAACACAGGAGAGTGATTTTAGACAACAGAGCTGTATTCTAAACTGTTACACATGCTTGGAGACTAGCTCTTAGCTGTTCCCACCGCAAGAAGAAATGGGAAGTAGTAACAGGACCCAGGTGTTGGTTCAGAGCACAATGGCAAGCCTGTTGCAATGTAAATGTATCCACAACTTTGGGTGGCAATTGTAACTCAATTTATTTATTTTATTTTATTTTATTTTAGCCTCAGTAGAGGCAGATTTATTCGATTCTGTTTCCTTTTTTAAAATTTTCAGTTAGCCAACATACAGTACATCATTCGTTTTTGATGCAGTATTCACTGATTCATTAGCTGGGTATAACCCCAGTGCTCAGCACAGCACGTGCCCTCCTTAATACCCATCACCCAGTTACCCCATCTCCCCACCCCCTTCCCTTCTGTAACCCTCAGTTTGCATCTCAATTAAAAAACAAACAAACAAAAAGGATGAATTCACATCATAATAACACAGATATTCCAAAAATATCACAGTGTGGTCCTTCCTTGCTGACCAGTCCTCCTCCTGGGACCTCGCGATGGGGTAATGTGCTTGTGGATATGCTGGGTTCCCAAGCTAGATCCCGGGCCTCGGGAGGTCTGCTTGGTGCGGCCCCGAGTCTCTGCCTCATTACAGAGTACCCGATCAGATCCCAAAGTCCCCCCATATCTGAGCATCCGGAGCATGGCTTGGCCATCCAGGAGTGTCTGTGGGACAGAATCTGAGCCTAGCAGGCCCAAGGGTCTCCGATTCCTGCTGTTTCTAGAAAACTGGGCTGCAAAGTCCTCCCCAAGGCACCCGCATTAGCCCGCACCTCTGTGCTCCACAACTCTTGCCTGGATGTGTTCTCGTAAAACTTTTTTATTTTATTTTTTTAAAGAGCCTGGTGGTGGGTACTAAGGAGGGCACATATTGCATGGAGCACTGGGTGTGGTACATAAGCAAGGAATCTTGGAACACTGAAAAAATAAAATTAAATTTTAAAAAAAGGTAGAACAGCCCCCCCAAAAAGATTTGATTTACTTATTTATTTGAGAGAGCGCACAAGCAAGGGAGGTAGGGGCAGAAGCAGAGGCAGAAGCAGGCACCCCATTGAGCGGAAAGCCTGATGGGGAACTCGATCTCAGGACCCCAGGATCATGATCTGAACTGAAGGCAGGCGCTTAACTGACTGAGCCACCCAAGTGCCCCTTAAGAATTTTTTAAATATACAA